CTTCTCAGCTTTTCAAATAAATACATTAATTTATCTGGCCAAGGTATTACTCCAGCACAAGGCAATACAAGACCTTAAATACACACAAAATTTGGGTACTTCTGTTGCCTCTAGAAGAACCATCTTAAACCATTTTCTACAAAATAAAATCCTGCATGATGGAAATGAAAAAATTCCAGTTGGTTCTCAAAAGCTTAGGCAGAAGTTTGTCCTAAATGGTGATTAACTCATTCATGTATGTTCATAATCCTTTAAAGCAGTTGCATAATATTCCAAGTGGCCCTCAAAGATGCTGTGTAGGACAGTGAGTAGCTCATTTCAGCCCACAGGAATGCAAGATCTTATGCTAGGGGGGAAATACTGTTCACACTGGAGTAAATGTGTTTTTTGTTCTGCCTTTAATCGTGTTTCTGTTTCTTACTCTAAACTTAATTGAGAATGGGATTTTACCCATCTCCTCACATGATTCTGGCTCAAACCTGAATTCTAGCTTTGAGCATTTTTAAATGGGGAAAATTAAAGTGAAACTAAATAAACACAGTGAATAGATCCATCTCCAGGTGGAGAAGGACTCTGATAACCTTCCTGCAGCAGAGGTGTGCTCTGAGCAAACAGTCCCTCAGTGCTGCAGGTCCTGGGGAGCAGCTGTGCCACCTGCCCTGCTCCTGCAGGTGGCCAAAGGGCCCTTCCTCCTCCCACAGCAAACACAAAAGGGGATCTCTGAGGTGAGGAGAAGGTCAGAATGCCACAGAAGGGAAAATGCTCTATTTCCAGGTACTTTCAGTGAAACTTCAGACTTGACAAAGATAAGGCTAGATAAGGAATTTCAGGGACAGAGTTCACACGGGTAAACTCTCAGGCAGTATATTTTTATGTTGCAAGTGAGACTAAAATATTCCATAAACTTTCACTGTATTTGAATCAAAATCCAATAATTAGTTTTGCATCAAATCCAATAATTAGTTATTCATCTCCCGGCTTTGATTTTGTTAAGTAACCAATACCCTAATTCAGAGGGAAGAATTTAATCCATAGAAAATTCTGTGCTGGGAGAAGATCAAAGTGAGTCCCGTGGTGTTAAGCACACACCTACAGGACTTGATCCTGAAAAAAAAAATTAGGTGCATGTTTCAATCAGCCTATCCCTTCTTACTGGCTCCCATGCATTAACCTAAGCCTCTGCTGGAGCATTTTTGGGGTCAGGATCAAGAACCTGTGGAGAAGCCCACAATGAGAGAGCAGGGCTCTGAAAAGGTAGCAAGCAAACAGGTGAGAACCCAGCAGGCTGAGATGGCAGCGCCTGCTCATTCCTCTGCACCTACCAACGCTACAGGAAGAGATTGAAAGTCTCTTGGGCGACATAAATACCCGCGATAAGCTCGAACAGAAAACACAAAGGTGAAATGGCCCTGCTTATCAGGCACAATTAAAATGAATAGAGGATGACTAATAAAGAGGCAGTTTAAAATCTTTACATGACACAGTGTCAAGGCAACAGCGTTGTGCAATAGCACTGACACAATTAGCGCTGTGTCCCTGCCTTGGCTGCCGCCCGCAGCCTCCGATGGCGAGCGCGGGGTGCGCGCTGCCGCTCTGCGCTCCGGGGCCGCCGCGGGACCGCGCACCAGCCGCGCTCCGGACCCAGGCAAGGCCGCTCTTCCCTCTCTGCCGTCTCTATCCCCTCTTTCCTTCTCGCTTGCGCGATCCCAGCCCCCGCGGTTACTGCCGCGTGAAAAGGGGAAAACATCTCGTTGGATTTCGGGGCGCGCTCCGGAGGGAGACAAGGCTGAGGTGCCCGATCCTGACCCAGGGCTGGCTGTTGACTTAGCGCCGAGGAATGCAAGCGTTTCCTGCGTAGGAATTTTTGCAGTGTGTAATTTACTAGTCTGGACAGCCCTTTGCTCGGGATGATGGATGGTGAATGGGAGTGTGATCTTCCAAAATACAGCTCAAGGTATCCTTCTAGTTCTTCATTTAATTATGTCGCTCCTTAGTGGTGCCTGTCAGGCTGCAGGATCTCCCAGTCCACCGAGTGAGTGCAGCAGGCTGGGTTTATATACATATATATAACATGAATGTACATGTATGTACGTATTTATATATATACATAGATTATATGTATATATTAAACACTGTTCTAATATATATATTATACACTGTTCTATTCACACAAAAGAACATCTATAAAACCGTACGCAATAATATTTATAAGAACAACAAAGATAATTTTTTTTCTTTGATGTTCTTATTTTCGGCCAAAACCAGCTCTCTCTTGGTTTTATTGCTGCTGGCATGTCTTTGCAATGCAGCACTGTCAAAAATTAACAATATAAATAAATTTGAGGTCATGCCAACCATCGCTGAGCACAGTCAAAGCTGCCCAATGCCACAACTTGCTGAACAATGTGTGAATTTTGCAGTGGCAGAAATGCCTGTTCCCTGTTCTTTCTTAACTTTTGGAAAGATCTTGGTGAAAAGTGTGTTATTCTAAATGAGATAATTAAAGTAATTGATATGAAAACTCCTTCACCATTGCTGTAGGAGGAGGGGCCCCTGTATTTGCCCAGCCTGCTAGCTCTACCTGCCAGGGGCTGCAGGGGAGTTGATTGGAACACTTCAAATAAGACATGATTTCTGGTCAGCAAAGAATGGTTTTTTTATGAGGTCAAGTGGCACTTCTGAACAGTTTGCTGTATTAGAAGGCAGTGTTGATGCTGTTTCCTGTGCCTGTCAGACCTGTGGGATGGGGGCTGGCCAAGGAAGTGTCCCAGCAGTGCCAGCAACCCTGGCCAGCTGCTAGCACAGCTCAGGGCAATGGCTGTGGCACTTGTACCTTGAGGGGAAACCTACCACAGCCTCTTCGGGGCCACATCCTGCCTGCCTGTGCTTCCCACCCATCCGTCTGGGGGTGCTGAATCTCAAAGTGCCTCAGACACAGAGTTTGATGTTCTCATCATTCCCCATATACTTCCCCAAATGTGTATCTGCACGTCCATGTAGGGAGGCAGTGACATCCATCCATCCCATTGGTGATGGTCCCTGCTGGACAGGCTGCAGAGGCACACCTGAACCCAGGTAAAAGTGGAGAGAAATGCTGCATGTGACATCTGTTGTGTCTTGCCTGAAAGTGAGCAGGAAGGATTTGTACCACATGAATGAGGGAAGGGTTGCTGTGTTTCACACAACGAGGCTGCGTGCCTCAAAAACCCACTGTAAGGGAGAAAAAGAGATTTGCCACTTGTGGCAGGCAGCACAACCAAGCTATTTTCTTTGTCTCCGATAGCAAAGTAAATAAGAAATATTAACTGTGTGCAAAGGTGCCCTTTTACTTGTGCTCATCAATAACAGCTGATGTTCCTCAGGGTTATTGCTGTAATGTCACTTTCCTTTCCTCACTGGCATCAGGTTCATATTAAAAACCTCATGGCCTCATAGGAAAGTCTTTTGTCCCCTGCCCTGTTTGTGGGTTCTGCTTTTGTCCCCTGCGCTGTGCTTTGGGGCACTGGCACGTGGGGATGGGGCTGTGCAGGCTGCCTGGGCGCCTGCCCCTTTCCTCCTGCAGAACGAGGGCTGGGAGAGGAACGGGAATTTTGGCTGAGCAAAGAAAGCCAGCGGTGAGAATGCCAGCTGTGGGAAAGGGCTGCTAGGCAGTAACATATTCCCAGAGGGAGCAGATCCCCCAGCATTGCATAGGTGAAGGAACAGTTTCCAAGAGGAAGCTGCTTGGAGTGGAGAGGGGGCGAAAAGGACCCCAAAAAATTAACTTGCTGGTAAGGGAGTGCACTCAGTTTTGGAAGCTGCTTGGAGTAGCCCGGGGCCGGAGTCAGGGACCCAGCGATGTTCTCCCAAGCCGTCCCAGCTGTGGCGTCAACCAGTGGTGTCCCAGCGCAGCGCTGGTCCCCAGCCGGCGGTGCCTTGAGCAGAGAGAGGAAGAGACTCCAGAACAGCCTTAATGCCCCAGCTTTGGTGCCTGCGGCTTCCAGATACAAGAGGAGCTTAAAGCAAACTCTGGCGATGGGCAGGACCACACGGCACCACTGAGCAGCGGCCCCGGCCCGACTGTCCGGCCGCACCGTGGCAGCGCAGGCGGGACCCCGGGGCTCCTGCACCGGCTGCGGCTCCGCAGGCACGGGCAGGGAAAGGAGCTGCCCGCTGTCCTGGGAGAGGAGGGTAAACAGTTACACTGGAGAAAGGGAATTCAAAAAACCCCAAAAAACCTATGAGGAAGGAAGCGGCAAATGTTAAATGGGTGACTCACGATGCGGGATGACTAATCCCGTCAGGGCACAGCTCGTGCTGCGCAGGGAGCCGGTGCCGCGCTCCGGGCGGGGAGCGCAGAGCGGCTGCGGCTCCGTCGGGGCAGCCGGGCCGGGCCTCGCTCCGCACGGAGGGAGAACGGGCCGGTCCCGGCGGGACTCCGCGGCCGGTACCCGCGCATCGGCGGCGTGACCCACTTTCCACTTTCCGCCGCTTCCTCCCGGCGCCCGACACCGCCGCTGCCGCGCCACCTGCCCGGCCCCGTCCGGGCCCCGCGCCCGCCGCGGTGCGGGGCTGCTCCCGTGCGGGGCTGCTCCCGTGCGGAGCGCTCCGCTCCGCTCCGCCCCGCGCTCTGCCCGCGGCTGCCGGTGGCGGTGCCGGTGGCGGCGGGGCGGGGAAGCAGCGCGCCTGTGCAGTGCCGGGGGCCGGGCCCAGCCCGCCGCGTTACACAACCGGCCGCCGCCAGAGCCGAGTTTCACAAGTCCCGCAGCCCGCGCCCCCTGTGCGCCCACCGCCTCACCGCGCACCGCCGGCACTGCCCCCGGCCCGCCGCGCTCATGCCATGTCCCCGCCGGGCAGCGGGACCCCGCGGGCAGCGGTAACCCCTGCGGCCGGGGGGGCACCGCGCCGGGGCTGGGCATGGCACTGAGAGCGGCTCCGGGACGCGCATCTTCCTAGGCGGTACGTACGGCCGGGACCGCCAACCCTGCCCGGCACGGGAGGGAGGGATGGAGGGAGGGAAGGAAGGAGGGGACCCGCACCTGCAGCCCCTGGGAAGAGCCCCCGCTGCAGGGCCGGGACGCGGCACTCGCCGCTCCGCCCGACCTTCGTCGGACACTGCCAGGACCGTCCCAGGTAAGTTCTGAAAAGGAAAAACTGACAGCTGCAAGTCCTCTGGTTTTTTTCCTTTAAAAATCTGTGTACCGTCAAGACGGGCAGAGGACGCAGCGCAGAGTGTCCGGGGGGCTCTGGCTGTAGAGGGCAGGCGGGAAGGGGACCCCGGGGCCGGGATGCAGGAGCGCATCCCGAAGCCGGCACCGGCATCCCCGTCCCGCAGCGCCCGTGCACCGCGGCGCTCGGAGCCGCTCGGAGCCGCCACGGGCTGAGCGCGGCTGAGAGCTGCGGTGATTTGGGATTGAGGGAAGCTGATTTTCAGGAGACTGAAATGGGTCTGATCGCAGGCTTCTCCTTCTGTCTTAAAGTTCGTCGTTCGTGGAATGTATTTGACTGAAATAGGTTGGAGAAAAACCTCTGAAATGAGTCTTGCACCTAAAAAGATAGCATCTGAAATCCAGGTTGAAAAGTCATTCTTCCCACCAGGGTTGTTGTGTCATTTGATTTTACAGAATGTTTATACTATGAGTAGGAATTAAAAAGGCTTTGAAAGTCCCCCACGTTTCAGCCAGGATTTGTGAATGGTAACTCCACGCCTTGGTCCTTAGTGGCAGAAATTGTGAAGTGATTGCTCTGGGTAGCTCGCACTGGAAGCGCAGGTCGGAGCTGAGCCATGTGTGATTCATCAGTGAGGTGTCGCACGCGGTTTGCTGTAGTCCTTTGTGAAGTGCCACAGTCCCCGAGGGCAGGAGGCAGGTCCCGGCTCAGTGGATTTTGGAGAAGTCCAGCACAGCAGTCCCTTTGCGGAGACAGAACTGGCACCCGAGTGCCAAGCCGGGGCACTTGATCCTGATCCGTGGATGAAGTTGTCCCCGTCAGCAGGGGGGTGGCTCTGGAAATAATGCCCCGAAATCAAAGCTGTTGAGCTGCCCCATGCCTTACCTGCCTGGGGAGGGTAGGGTTATTTATTAGCTGGAGTTTATTTTGCTGTGTGCAGTGAAAGCTGTGGTGCTGATTTCACTAGAGGGATTAGAATTTCTGGTGTATCCATGAGAAAATCTTAGGAGTCACTTCCTTCATTTTTGAGCAGAATGCCAGTGCTCCCTGTTCCTTATTTTGCTGGATCACTGCTGGCTAATCCCTGGCTCTGGAAATGTGAATTTGGCTTAAAGAGACAGCTAGCTCTTCATGGGTTTGATGTGTAGGCTTCACAGTCCTCAGAGATGTAAGGGATGTTGTTTGAAGTTGCAGACACTTTCAAGAGTACGCAGTGTGCAGCCCTGGTAGTGAGTGTCTGACAATGTGGTGTTTTGGTTGGGAATTTCTGTGATTTTTATAAACTTCCTAGGCTGCAGTTCCTCACCATAGTTATTCAGTCAGAATAATACATTCTGACTGAATTTCATGTATTTCAGAAAACTACATTGGATTTTGGGTTTTTAGAACCTGTATTTAAAAAAAAAAGTAGATCATTCTCCTGTAATGTGCTAATCAGAGTAAGCCTGACTGTCAGTGTTGCACCAGGGAGGACCAGAACAAGTGCACTTGGGACTCTGCAGCTGATGGAGCCCCGACAAACACAGCAGGCACTAATGAGGACAGGAAGCTCCAGGAACTGCCAAAAGTTGAAATTTGTGTGGAAAGGAGGCATTCGTATCTCTTGGGTTGAACATGTGTAGTACCAAACCGTTGGAATTTTTCTGGAAGAGGTAATAGGAAAAATAAACATGGCTTTAGGAGTGGTTGCTTGCTGCTCACTTATCCTGATTGTTCCATGTTGTGGATTACAATTAATTGATTTAAAGGAAAAAGTTAAATTGGCTTGAAATGTGTTTATAAACTGCAAACTTCAGTAAGATATGTGATGGTCCTTGGGTTTTAGCCACTGAGACTATATCTGTATTAAATTATTTTTCTGGTTTAAGACATACATCAAGTACACAAAAATAGCTCAGAGTTAAAGATTAAAATTAGCAAATGAGTAGTTCATAATTAAAGTCTCATGATAGAGGAAGTGGCATTACATTGCAGAGATACTGATGTCAAATCCAACTTCTGCTCATTAGTAGTATCAAAATATTGGTAGGATGTCTTTCGAGTTTGGAGCCAGGGCTTGTCTGTGAACAGAAGTTGCTTTGTTTTGTCCTAAATTACTCAACCTCCCAAGATTCACATGTAATGGTACAAAGGTTTTAGTGCCAACATAGATCATTCTTTCAAGACTGAAACAAGCTGTGTGCCTACATCAGAGTGACTGAATTCACGCTTGTACTGGAACACTTAGAGATCCTAGTGAAATAATATGGCTTCAAACAGAACAGTAAAAACTTACAAACACCAAAATATATGAACCAATGCTTTCTGGTATTATTGAAATTATAGACCTCTCTACCACTCCAGTTACAAATCTCTGTCAGGAAAGTCAAACAGCTGTATTTATTTGTTAGTACCTGGATGACCCCCTTCTTTGGGTGAGTCCTGGCTCAGCTGGGGCCGTGCTCTGCTGCAGCAGCAGCTCTGTGCCCACCACAATGGCCCTGGGGTTTTGCTTTCCTGCCTGTAGCTCCACCAGCTCTGTCCCATCCTCAGCCCAGGCTGAGGCCATTCTGGGGTTTTTGCCTTGTTTCACTGCTACTTTGGTGTGACCAAAAGTATATGGCCAATATGCCCTGTGACCATAAGCTGAAGGAGCAATGTCCCTGTAGAAAAGTCCTGCAAGACCCGAATTGTTGTTACTCCAGTCTCAGTTAAACCCAGATTTAAGGGAGGCTGAGGTGGTGAGAGGCCTCAACAAGAGCTCTGTGCACAGCTGGGCACACGGGCTGCACATCTGGCCAGCCTCAGAATCACCAGATTCAGTCAAACCACAAAGGTGTGTGCGATTAATGAGAAACTTTGACCTATTTCATATTCCTTTATTGTCTTTGGCCTTGTCTACATAGGGAAATTACACCAATTTAGTTTAAGTCTGTTTTAGAAGTGATTTGATTAACCTGATGTGACCTTGTGTATGGACATTCTTATTTAGGTTCAAATGAGCTTATTTGGGTTCAACCAAAACCTGCACTTAGTCAATTTGCACAGAACTGAAATTAGACATGCCTAAACTGGAAGGGGAACTGATGTCTCTAAATAATGACACAACTTTCTCATGAAAGCAGAACCTTCTGTAGAATCTGGAACAGAGTGTAATTACTGACAAATCTGCAGGCAAGTGAAAGCTATTCATAGCAAAGGTTTCAAAAAAAACCCAGGGAAAACAGGCAAAACTTAAATATCTTGGTGAGACAAATGAAGAAGTGCCAGTAATCCCAGTCCTGGAATACTGAAAGCAGAGCCACAAGGCTTGCATAGCTGGCAGCAAGGCTCTCCCATGGCTCTTCAGATGCAGAAGAGGGCAAGCATTTGTGTCCTTTACAGGGAGTCCCTAGAGACTCAGAAAATAAAAAAGCAATGCAGGAAATGTTAGGCCAGCTGGTTTGAACACAACAGTACCCAGCGTCTCATGACGTATTTTGTAGGAAAGAATAATTAGGAGTGGGAATAATGAGGAAGCAGGGTAAATTACAACGAGATTTTATCAAAGATGGATTGTGCTAGACTAATCTAACATCTTTTTCATATAACAGATTATTTAGATGGGGTAGGGTAGGAATGCCATTTATCTAAAGCCAAGTATTTGATACCATGCCCCACAGGATGTTATGGCTTAAAATGAGGATGGTTGTTCAAGACAAGAATTGAAAGGTAGAAAATAATCTGGCCAAAGAGAAGATACAACCATTGCATGCAAATAAAGTTCTCTGAATGGAAAGAGGCACTGAGAGAAAGTCACCAGGATGGAGGGAGATTGTTGGTGCTGCTCCCTTGGGACCAGGCTTGGGGCTGCTGGATGGATCCACTCTGACCTGTGTGCGGGGTGTGGGTGTGTGCCCAGGAGCTGTGTGGGATGACAAAAACTTGGGAGGAATTGTCAGTACAGAGGAGGGTCACATTATCACATTAAAGGTATTTAGATTACTTTGTTGATTGGGAGTGATAGACATAAAATGGCATTTAATAGTGCTGAGTGCAAAGTCGAGTGAAGTCATAAGCATAGAGAGCAGTAACAAGAATTTCCAGTGTGAAATAGGAGCTCGTCAGTTGTCCATGACAGAAGGGAGAAATGTGGATGCACTGGCTGTTCAGAAGATACCTGGGAGCAAGCACTGAGATGCAGCTGGGAAGGAGACCAATGATGTCTTGGATACCAAAGGAAAATAATGTGAGAAATTCAAGGAAATGTGATAGCAATCATTGTACAGATCATCATACAGGGTGTCAATACAAGAGCTCCAGGATGTTTTTGGAGTGGTTTACTGATATTTTGCATAGTTCAAGACACCCCTGCCAAGAAAACATTGAATTCCAGCAGTTGGAGGGTGAGAGATGTGGTTACACAAACACATCTGTTGTGCAAAGTGAGGTTAAACAGCATCATCTCTTTAGCTCTGGCAAGGTGAACCAGTGAAGGGACAGGCTACACTGGGGTATTTTACACACAATTGGCACTATATAGAAAGAGAACAGGAAAAAAATAAGCTAAAAGATAGCATCTGCACTAGGTCAAATTTTCTAAATTGGTCATGAATAAATTTGGGTGGAGAATTAGAAGAAAGCTTGTATCTACCCAAGGATTGAAGTTGCATAAGAGTCTTTCAATTAGGGTAGTTTTGAGATAGATCTTGATAATCTTATGAAAGAGGTTATACAATTAAGTTAGAGAGTTCCTGGAGATAGGAAATTACATTTGCAGAATTAGTTCTTTGCTCTGCAGTGTAGCCATATTTTTAATGTATGCTTGAAGGAGAATGGATCTTGTTTGTTTACACTTTTAACCCCATGTCTCAAGTCTTCTGCTGTTTTCTTGGGAGATGAGGCAAGAAATATTATTCTCTGTTGCTGCAGGTTTGAATCTTTTTTCTCCCACATCTGAGTTCCTCTCAACACTAGACATTGAAAACGTACAGTGCAGATTCCTT